GGTATATTAGGCTTGACTGGGCCCTTATTAGTGTACTGATTGAGAGGTGAACACCGGAGACCAACACCTTTCATATGCATATAGGGGAATGTACCATTACACTTCAGGACGTAGCCATCATACTTGGGTTCCGCATCGATGGCCCAGTTGTTACAGACACTGATGACCATAATTAGGCCGAAGTATGTGAGAGGCTTCTTGAGCAGATTTCTGATTTGAGGAGTGGTGCGATGAAGCTATTGTAGCTTCGATCAATATTTATGGGAGATATATATACCAGTTGATGCCATGGATGAGATGATTCACTATTACACTCGTGCTTATATGTTACACATGATAGAGTGTATGTTATTTCCTGATGCGAACAAGAATCTTGTACATGCACAATAGCTGCCACTACTAGAGGATTTTGAGGTATGCAGCACTCTATCATGGGGTAGTGCGGTCTTGGCATACCTTTATAGAGAACTATGTAGGGTTTCCTTAATGAAGAATAAAGAATTCAAAGGATGCATGACATTAAAGCATGTTTGGTCATGGGAATGCATTCATATTGGAAGACCTACTTTGCATGCGCACCGCGATCTACATGGCCAATTTTCTTTAAGATGCATGTATAATTATGCATAAATTTTATTCATATTGAATTTGTTCTCATATATTTTTTATGTCAAATAGGTATAACGTGAGGTACTCTAAATACAAAACAGCGACTAGACATATAGAGTTTTACCAAAATGAGCTTGATTGCCTCCAACACCAACAGGTAAATATAAAACTCAATTCATTTTGAATATTTTAATTTTGTTGTAGATACTGATAAAAGTTTTTTTAAATTTTTAGTTCAAGTGGACACTCTATTCTCCACCAGATCTCGATATGCATACTCTTGCACCTATCTGTCGAGATAGCACTGATTTGTGGAGAGCTAGAGTCTCGTTAATATGTTGGGAGATTATAGAGATGCATATCTCAGATCGTGCGTTATGGTAATTTCTTCTCTCTCAGCATGTGTCGGATCCTGTTGAGCAAATCAATCGTCGGCGACGGATGACATCGCATCGTACAGACTAGGCCGTATTCTGTGTGGCCTACATATATAGGTGGAATAATAGTGGAATTTCATACAAAATGAGAGAATTCGAGCTGATGGTTATACCGCGTATATGCGTTGGTATTGGAATATCACACGTAGATGGATAGGACGCGACCTATAGCCAGCAGCTGGATACGTACCACGCCCATCGATAGATAGTTATATCCCTAGTGCCATGATCGAGAGAGATTGTATAAGTTTTTAAACTAAATTAAAACGATAATTCTTTTTTTATTAAGATATTATTTGCTAAGTTGTGTATATATTAATTAAATCACCGATTAATGCTTTTGATGAGGCTGATATAAATAAGCATATCAATGACATTCAGGATCCGATAGTGTTAGGGATCTTCAATAGGAGCAGACAAAGAATAGCAAACGTGTTCCATAAAAATTATGTCAACGAGTTTGAAGGCCATGAGGATAGGTGACGCTAATTTGGTCAAATGTATATTATGTCGCCCCCAGTTTCACACAAGGTTGTAGTCCAAGGTGAACCCAATAATATCAAACTTGTCATACACCCACACTGTGTAAAAATACGTTTCACCATCACAATAATATTTTTCTAGTGGAAACAACAATAAGTGTAGGTATAAAACAAGCAAGATAAAGGTAATAATGAAATTAACATGATTAAATGAAGAGGTATCCAATTATATAATCATGTCCCAAATGAAACAAAATAAAATATAATTGATACTGGAATAAATATAAAATGTCTCGATACACAGAGTCAACTGAAAAGTACATAAGCTCTCTCAGCCCTCAAATTGAAATGCAAGTCTAATAATCAACTAGAAACAAAACTAAACATCTGTGGAGCATAAACTACTAAAAATAATTAACGGCGACTATGCTGAAATTCCGTCAACCTGTGACTCTCCAAAACTCTGCTCCGCTACCTGAAAAGAAGGAAAATCAACAATGTTAGAGCGCTAGCAAGATCATCTTCATCCGCCCCCAGGGGAAGGGCTACTAAGTATGATCCTATAAGTGTATAGTCTACCTAGATCATTTTACCCTGTACTATATGGAATTTATGTTTAGAAATTTAGAACACAAGTCCCTCATATATATATCATGTGTCTCAAGTCATAAATTTCTAGATATAAATTCCAACTAAGAATAAAACAATAAAGGAGAATAATACAGAAAGAAATACATCAATCATCTCCAAATAAAATGTCATCTAGCTCCTCATACCACCCTTAGTGGACAAAACAAATACCAGTACACTATCCTGTGTACCAAAGTTGTGAAATACCTTCACAATAGATCATATCGAACGAGTGTCACTAATCGCCTACGCTTAGGTTATCATCAAATTTATTAAATCATCCTTCTCTAGAATTCTTCAACTCATCACACCCCATGCGAACTGATAAATAGTATATCAACTCATCACACACCTGTGCGGACCATAAAAAGGTATATCAACCTTTATGCAAAACCATGCAGACCGAAATCATAGGTTCAACGACCTCTGCGCACGCTTGTGCGGACCAAAAATACAAAGAAGTCTATCGCCGTCTTATTGCGGTCCTGACTAACACACTCAGAGTGTAGCTCATCCGCAGTCTCATTGCAGGCCCCAACTAACCCCACTCAGCATCCTCAATAAAAGCTAACTATAATAGTCGTTACTTATAATGATTGCAAACTATTTGGCTATTATGAACAATGGATTTGTACGTACTCAATCTCCATACGTGTACTCCTAAAAATACATGTATAGAACATCACACGACTTGCACTACGCGCTCGTACATCGACCCCCATGTAAAAGGTTCAAACTCACAATATTGAGCTTCATCAGTCAACCGACAAAAGCTTCGATCAACTGATAAGCTGAGGTCACACAAATCACACATAACCGAGCTCGTCAGTCGACTGATGTTTCCCATCAGTTGACTAATGACCTCCTGTCAGTTGACTGATAGCAACATCAGTCGACTGAACAGACCAAAATTTACAGATTCGAGTTTTTACCTAATTTTTCTTCAAAGCTCAGGTTTTTATTAACTTATATGGATAAAACTTGATTTAATACTCATGATTACATAACTAGGGGTTTGTTTAAACAAGATGAAATCAATATGAACTCATGGATCTAAGGTTTAACATGCAAATTAACTAAATTCATGTTTATTTTCGACAAATTAGTGCATATAAACTAAAATTAAACTAAAATTAACATATTTAGATTAACTCTAATGATCATAATCATCTAAACACGAAAATCTCTGACTTACTCTACTATTCTATGCATGGGTTTAAGATATCACTTCACAAATTAGGTTCTAACACATTAGATTCACACTAAGCATGAGATTAATTGTAAATATCACGTAAAAACTTTATTTTTAAACTAAGGGAAATGTTTGGATAGAGGTGATCTTACCTTATCACATGGATAACCCTCTGAAACAATCAGGAAGCGACCCTGTCGCCAAAAGCCGTAAATCTCACATTCTCTTCACTTCTCGCCTCATAAGACTTTCCCGAAATCACAAATTTAGATCTAGGGTTTGATAGAGGAGGAGAGGGGCTGCTAGGGTTTGGATCACAGATGAGAAGATGTGTTTTTCATGTATAAACACGTATATATAGCTGCAAACCCAAAACAACATAGCCCAAACCCGAAACAGGAAACCAGTTAGACTGGGAAAATAGTCTTCGGTATTTTGGCTGTAACTTTCTCTTCCAATATTGGAATGAGGTGATTTAAGATACTTTGAAAAGATATTGAAGATACATACAACTTTTATCTTTTGAGTTTTTCCATATTCGAACTGTATTGGTGTGTAATGCATATATACTCTTAACTGGTCGTTTTTTCAGATTTCTTATTTGTGCATGTTTTACTCGTTTCGTGGATGTTTAACCTTTGTATACTCTCATATATACTCTTAATTGATCTCAAATCAGTTGTTAGCATAATCATTCATCTATAATTGATCTTTATCATAATTAAAACTCATTTATTAATATATAAATCATACTACTCTTTCACAATTCACGGGGTTTTACAGTACACGCGAAGACGTAGGACATGTCAAAGGGCGGCTCGTGACGATGGAGCCGACACTTCTCATAGCACGGCACATGCTGATGGAGCCGACACTTCTCAGCCTCATACACAACCAGATACTCAGATCGGGAGTGAGGGGAAGGGGTAAGAGAGGAAGAGGAAGGATATGACTTTTGGGATGTATGTGAAATTTAACAGTATGACTATGAATTTCAAGAACAATATAGTTAGATTTTTCAAATTTGTTACTTTTGTGGATCGATTATTGTTTAGATATGTGATTTTCGTGTGTATTGTATGATTCATGGATGAATTTTATGAATATTGTTGTAATTCAGTATATATGTGATTTTCATGTGTATTGTTTGATTCATGTATATTATTGTGAATGAGGCAGAAATTTCATGTATATTGGTGTGAGTGAGGCGAAAATATTCATGTATATTGTTATGAATTTTTTTTATGTATATAAAAAAACATGCACACATTCTGTGCATGTTTTTTGAAACCTACAACTCTCCGAGACTTCAAGTCCTATGAAGCTTCAGGCTAAATTCCAGAGAGATCGCTCTCTGGAATTTAGCCTGAAGCTTTACGAGACTTGAAGTCCCGTGAAGTTATAAGCTTCACGGGATTTCAAGTCCTGTGAAGCTTTGTTACTAATGAGGGGTTTAAACTTTACGGAATATAAAATCCTGTGAAGTTTTTAATGTTTTTTTGCCAAATTCGGCTCAGTTTTAGCCAGTGAACTGAAACTAGATCGAATTTGACAAATATTTTCGAAATATATCATTTTTACAAATAAGTTTCTAATTGGGTCTATTTTGAATTTGTTCAAAGGACTAATATTAGAACGGACGGGTGATATTTCCACCCCCATTTACTGTTTTTATCCTCGTCCGCCATTTTCTTCTCTTCTCGCGCAGATCCCAACCAAAATTTAGGGCTAGGCTTTTATCCGTCACCCTGTCCTCGATCGGAACCCTAGCATGGGCGGAAGCGAAAAATCACCGACGGCCAGGTCCGATTCGGATCCCTCGAGATCGGTGACAGTCATCAGCAGCAGCGACGAAGAGGGGACTAACAAGGATTTGATCGTCGAGAGACATCTGAAGAGGGAGAGATCGGAAGCTGTGAGTTCTGTTGTTTTTTTTAGTCAATGTTTGTTCAGAGATTGTCTTTAGTAAGTTATCTTATGTAGGGATGTAAAATTTTTTAGTAAGTTTTTTTCTTCTTGAGATAGGGAAAGCAGGACAAAACCAAAGGTAAGTTTTTTACGTGTATATTGTACTCTAATTTCAGTTTAGTTTCCTAGGAGAGTGTAATTAGATTTAGCTATTTTGCTTTTATGTATTGTACTTTTTGTTTCAGTCAATTTTGATGATAAAGTTGCCATCTTGGTGTAATGTATTAAAGGATACTTGGCTATTCCTTAGAAGAGGGTGATTGCTTTGAAACTTTAATTCAAAAATTGGGTTATTCTGACTGGTATCTTACATTGCTAGGTCACGCTTACTTCAGCGGCGATTCAATTTTACAATAAGCAAAGACTAATTATGTGAAAACTTCCTCTTTTTTGTTTATATTTAAATTAAATTATTTGGGGAGATGGAATTTAGTTATGGAGTTGAATTTAGCTGTAAGCTTACAGTTTTTATGGGTATTTTTCCTAAAGTATCATATTAATGGCACATGGGTGATACTTTGATCTAGTACGATTAGAAGGCCAAGAGGAAAGTATCAAAGTGTTACTCTCTAACCTAGGGTAATTTGCACTTTAATACCCTAAAACTTCACCCTATTTGAACTTTGATGCACTGAAGTTCTATTTTGACAATTTGATGACGTAAAGTTTTAACATTGAGACTGACTTGATAATTTTTATACCGCAAAGTCCATTTCGTCACAAACTTTCTCTAAACTCAAAAAGCTGAAATTTGGTGAGAAGTTTGTTTCTTGTTTCACTTTTCTATGTTGATATTCGTGAACAATATTGATATCAACTTTATTGCACTTTGGGGGTGTCTAATTGGCAAAACGGAATTTCAGGGTATCAAAGTTAAAAAGGGTGAAATTTTGGCGTGCTAAAGTGAAAATAATCTTATAATTATTTAACCACAAGTTGGTTAGACTACATAAAACTTGTAGCAACCCACTATGTTACAACTTGCTTGCATAAACTTTTACCTTTAATATTAAACTGCAAGTACCTTATATCACTTGTGAAAGATCATAAAGTTTTCTTTTTCAATAATCTCATTTGCTTTGAACGTAGTAAAAAAATCGCTTTTGATTATTTCTCTTTTCCATAACAGGGTGAGTTAGTGATGGAATGCTTGCAAGGTAGCTATAATTTATATCATCAGTTTCAAAGAAAGTCGTAGTAGTGATTTGTGATGCACAAAATTTGCAAGTGATTATTCTCACTAAGGTATTAGTTGAGCAACAGTTAGATCTTATGTTATTTAAAATCGTACAATGATTTGATTAGCTCCATTACAAAAATAAGGTATCCACATTACCTTCATGTTAAATATTTACTTTACTTTTAAAGTAAGTACTTAGTTTAACACGTGTTAATATCAGGTGTTTTATTTGAGATATAGGTGGATGTTGCATTCAAAGAAGAGGAGTCAGTGGGTACAACTGATTCTGCGATCACAAGTGTGAATGAAATGCCTGACAATGCAGTTTTGAGAAAGCTTTTGGTATGTATAAAGTGCTTGCGTCTTGTTGGAAGATAAACTTCATAAACCCCCTTTAGTTCTAAACTTTTAATCAAAATAACTTGATTGGCCTGCCTACATATACAACCCCCCCCCCCCCCCCCAAAAAAAAAAAAAAAAAAAAAACTTAACATCTGATGGAGCTTTCATCTCTGTTTTATGTCATCCTTGAAAAAAAATAAGACATTTAATTGAATAAAGTGCTTCAATCCTGCCCCCCCCCCCAAAAAAAAAAAAAAACCCCTAACCTAGTAATCCACGTTTTAAAGAAAAGAAAAGGATAAACAAATAAACATTTAGTTCTTTCTTTGCAACTAGGATATTAGTTAAGGATTTGTCAACAAGTTGAAGTGTACTCTAGTGATTTAAATATGAGTTGAGTTTAAGGGGTTATTTAGTTATGAATTAGGATAGGTTATTTGAATTTTGTGAAGAGGTATAAATAGGCACATACATAATGTGTTTGGTTTGTTCTAATAATTATTTAATTTTGCTGACTAGCGTGGTCCAAGATACTTTGATCCTGGTAATAGAGATTCAGGTGCTTGCTTCAATTGTGGCGAGGAAGGTCATCCTGCCACTGACTGCACTGTGAAGAGGAAGGAGAAAAGGAGAAACCATGTTTTATCTGTGGGACGTTTGGCCACTATGCTAAGCATTGTATGCAGGTGAGCCTTTTATTCACTTATTAGTCCTCTCTTGCATTTGATGTGTGCATGACACAGAAACAGGGTGGGCATGCTAAAGTGGTGGAAAAATATGGGGTGTTGGATGTGTGCTTTATTTGTTGTGATTCTTAAAGATGTGAGCATTTCTTGGGATTTGTTGTCATGAGGGCATTTTCTGCAATTTTCGGTTGTGAGGACATTTAGAAAACTTTTGAATGTGTAAGGGCATTTGTAGGTGTGATGGAATTTTGAAAACGTGAGAGCACTTTCGGGAAGCGTGAGGGAAGTTTTGTAATTTTTAGTTGTGAGGGCAATTCTTGGGATTTTATGTTGTGAGAACAACGATTGGGTGTTTATGAAGTTGTGAGCTAGAACACCAAA